CTCACCGCCCCCACCAGCTTGCGGCCGCCATACTTTCCAAACTTGCTTCAAGAAATCAAAGCACGTTTGAGGCAGTTGGACACTCTGGCCTTGGTGGCGCTCTGCCCACCTAGCTGCTACCGCCGCGCAGAGATTCGCACTTGCCTACTTCTTGCTCAGGCGCTTGCCGTTCTTTCAAAGCGGTCTCCCTCCACCACCTCGGCACCCACACCGCCCTCACCACCACCCCACCATCCACACTGCCCTCACCAGCTTACATTCAAAATTCCACCGCTCCCACCCTCTCCGCCTCTGAGCATCTCGTCTCTTCCCTCTTTGAACCCTCGTCCTGCTCCTCTTACCTTTTCGCCGTTCTGCTTCCCCTGCACCCACACCGCCCCGACCACTCACACCACCCCCACCACCCACACCGCCCCCACCAGCTTGCACTCAGAACTCCACTGCCTCTCTTGCTCCCCTTACCAGAGTATGCAAGGCTGCCAATGCGTGCCCGGACCCCGCGCGCCTTCAGCACCCCCACCACCCCCAGTACCCACACCGCCCCCATCAGGCTTGCATTAACAACTCTACCGCTCCCACCCTCTCCGCTCCCAGCATCCCTGCTCTTCCTCCTGCCCCCCTCATCCCCCTCCCCGTTCTCCTTCTCTCCCCTGGGTTGTTTAGTAGCATGCCCTGGCCTTCACGCCTGCTCCTGACAGTATTCACCCGGCTAGAAAGCTGAAACCAGGCTGAGCTCAACATCGACCCATACAAAGCAGGATCGATCCTGGACTTCAAGTGGATGCCGTGGAACCTTGCTCAAAATCATCCCTTGGGGGTCGGCGGCACTGGCGGCAGCCATTAAATAAATGACTGATGAAAGCTGTAAAACCTTCCCGTAACCGAAAGGAGAAAAGCTCATGAAGACACCACAACCTATTCTTCTTCAAAAAATTTTGGGGGATTAAATCCCAAACACACATTCCAAGATTGAAGGCCGACATAAAACCTGAGCTTCAGCATGACCCGGGATCCAAGAATCTTTGAAGGGCCTAGCGATGAGAATTGAGTTTGAACGACTACATGTTCGATGGCCGGCCTGAAGATCGAAGATCCACTGAAAAGTCCCTGCTGTTCGATCACCAGTTGTCCATTCGGGGCAAATTGCTCAAGCTCTTTCAACGAGGAGACATATAACTCCCTTGCAGGATGCTGCAACAATTCTCTAGCGCTTCTCTTAAAAATGCAAGCTGGTAAATTGGATTCCCAGGGCCGTCTACGAAGTTTAGCACGGCCTGGCCTCTGGCTCCTTGCCCGACTTGTCCATACCGTCTGTGGGATCTCCCTCTGGCGGATCATGTTGCCTCGTAAGCGGAGCTAAAAGGATCAGACTGCAGGACAGCTGATGAAGAAAGCTGTTCAACAGCTCGAGATGCAGTTACAAGGGCATGGATCCGCAGCAACAGACTCGGGTCTTCATTTGAGGATCCTTTCTTGGGCCACGGCGGCGTGTGCAGCGATGCGAAAGGGCCCTTTGGCTCGCCTGGCGAAGACAAGTCTTGGATCCGCTCCCGCTCTCTGCCCCCTGCTGATTCCGGACTCTACCGCGGCAATCCTCCACCGCTTTCCGCACGGTCCTGGCCACCTGCCGGCAGTGCTGTGAGACTTGCGGCGGCTTCTTGGAAGTTAGACTTAGAATCAAGTCTCATTTTCTTCCCGTCGGACTCGGCCTGGGTCCCAAGTCGTCGCTGAGTCTCCGCCTTTGGCTCGCTCTCTCTCGCGTCGCGGGCGTGGGCCCCGATTCGCGGGGTTGTCGCCTCCTGGAGTCGGCAGCCGCGGCAGGTCCTCTCGACTCGGACCACTGCTGTCTTAGAAGGGTCTTGGAAGGTTTCTTCTTTTCTTGGCACACCGAGTTCCTTTGGGCACCTGTGCCTGTGTGAGGGTGCCAGAAGGCTCACTTCGGGCGCCATTGCCCTTGACCTCAGCATGCCCTCTGGCAATGGCCCTGCAGAAAGCGGAATCTGGGCGTTCCAGGAGCCAGAGAACAACTCTTTTCCCCCAAAACCCTGGAGGGTTGGGTTCTTGTTTAGTTTTTCCTTCCCGCGGGGGGAGCGTTCGCCAAAAAACGTTGCCGTGGACCGGAAAAGCCTTTTAGCGAAGAGGAAGTGTCCACGGCATCGTGTCGACGGGCCGTGGACGCGGACTCGTGGGGAGCTCCGAGTGCCGAGCGTTGGCGGGAGGATGTGGCCGTGGCGTGGCCGTGGATGGGGACTGGTGGAGCTCCGTGGACGGGGATGGTGGGGAGCTCTGGGTGCCGACTGTCTGGGCCGTGGGGGGAAGGGGCGGCGGACGGGGACCCGTGCATGGGGTGCCGACAGGACGTGGCCGTGCGTGGACGGGGACGGGTTGGGTGCCGAGCGTTCGGCGGGAGGTGGCCGTGGACGGGGAGCTCTGATAGCTCTGGGAGCCGAGCGTTCGCGGGAGGACACGGTCGTGGACGGGCTGACCATGGTGCAAGGACGGGTGGGGAGCTCTGGCTGCCGAGCGTTCACGGACAGCAGCGTTTGTGGGAGGACGGGTGTGGAGCGTTTACGGGAAGACGTGGCCGTGAACGAGGACGGGTGTGCCGAGCGTTCGCGGGCAGACGACCATGCGGGGACGGTGGCAGCTCGGGGTGCCTCGGTTCGCGGGAGGACGGTCGTGGACTGGCATGGCGTGTTCGCGGTAGGACGTGGCCGTGGACGGGGACGGGCGGAGGTGCGGAGCGTTCGTGGTGGGACGGGTGGGAGGCTCTGGGCGCCAAGTCTTGCTCACAGGGTTGCTGTGTTCGCTGGCTTGAGATGCGGACGGTGAAATAAAATCAGAAAGCCCTGCTCTGGACCAAAGCTCTCCCTTATGCCTAAAGAACGGCTTGGTTTTTGGGTTCCCGGCTAGTTCGACTGCTTGTCGTGTGATCCCACTGTTCCGACCCAGGCTGAGGTGGAACGTTGGATCTTGCACGTCAGGGTGACCTATCCTTGCATGAGCTGAGACTGCGGTTGCAGAAGCTCACTGGCCTAGACCTGACTGTACGAAAGGCCGACATCAAGCGCATGGCAAAGATCTTTGGCAGACGCGAGCTCCATTTTGCAATTTTTCGCGAGAACAATGTTGCTGAGGCACTGGGTATGGAGGGTTTTCTCATTCGCCCTGTGAGGCCGCTCCTTGCGTCCATAGCCTTCAGGCTCCCAGGCCTTAACCGGCATGTTGTCGTGTCCTCCTTTTGCAGTTCTTTTCGAGGTGTAAAAGCTCGTCTGACCATGCACACTTCCTCGCTCCGTGTCTTCGAGCAACGGGCTTGGACCGGCTTAGAGTGTGGGATTCAGGTATTGTGGGATCCTGCAGGCGTCGCAAATGGCAGAGTGGAGAACTTTCGGCACTGCCCTCTGACCCAGCACAAAGGATGACGGGTGAACGGTTGCATGTGCATGTGCTCCTTGTTTGTTTGGTTGCGTGGTAAGTTACGGGTGCCTGCCTGCTCCTACTGCGTAGATTACTGCCTCACTCCTGCAAAGAGTTTGTGATTGCACGCTAGGCCCTCACTGCGAAATGCTAATCGCAAACAGAGGCCTTGCAAGCGCCGCCAGGCGCAACGTCTTTTTCTAGCTGCATCACCGAGAGCCGCCGCCACTGCTGCAGTCTGGTGGTTCGACTCGCAACTGAGAACTAACGCATGAAACAACCGCATGCACAACTGGTCAGGCTTCACTGCACAACACTGACACTGGTATCAAAAGTCTTCTGACCAGTTTGCCTTGGCGGTTTACGCTTCATGGACTCTTCGTGAAACAACAATCCCCTGGTAAGCTGCTCTCTAATATCTCCTCCCCTACCAGCCTTGGTAAAACCGTCAGCCAACTGACATCTCGTAGGCACCCAGAGCAGCTTAGCTTTGTTGGGATTCTCACGGCCTCTTGTCGTGAGAAGCTGTCTCATCAAGACAGCATGAACAATGTTCCTTTTCTCCCCAACATGTTGGCCATCTTTGTGAATAGTGTCGTAGATACTCTTGCAGTCCGTGATCAACGTGACAGGAGCTAAAGACTGCCATCCATCATCTTCAACAGCAGAGACGACGTGTGACCCATACTTGATCTCACTCAAGAGGACTTGGGCAAAGCGAGACATGTTATGCCCCATGATAGCAGCATGGGTCTCCGCAGCGAAGGATGATTCAATGACCCTGCGATTCGTCGAAGACTTCCAGTCGATGAGATTCAAATGAACGTGTTTCTCTTGATCAGTAGCTCCTTTCTTGACAAAGCCAACACACGCACCCTTTTGGGAATAGACCAACTTCTTATCACTCGGCCTTTGAAGGACGTCCTCACACTGTTGTTCATCAATTTCAACCCCGATGCTACTGTACAAACCGGCATCATGGTACGCAACCAACTCCGCATCAGCACCAAGGGGCCGAAACTCGATTTCCAGCCTGTTCCGAACAACCTCTCTAACAGTCTTGTTCGCACGAATCAAGTCGGCGACGCGGAGATCAGCAATTCGCTTCTGCAGCTGGTTGCATTCAAATGCAATATCAGGCCTCGACTGGACAGCCAACCATTGGAGACTCCCGACTACTGACCTACAATCCGTGCGCGCAACCTCCGTGGCTCTCGCATCCGGTTGGCGCGCCCTTTCATTACTCAACTCCATGGGCTGAAGTCTGCCGTCGATGAAAGCATTCTGACACAAAGTCCCTCGAACCTCACTCTCAACCCTCTTGATCTGTATCTCTTTACCACAATAGGTCACTCCGCTCTCTTGTTCAGCGACTCGCAGCCACGTTCCAAATGGAAATCTTTTGTGAACCTTCTCGGCCACTTCTTGTCCCCAAGCGGAACCATCATGGCAGATCATCACATCGTCAACATGAACGATCATCATACCACGGAGCTTGCCCTGTTGATCTCGAAGCATATGGCTGGATCAACCTTGCTCTTGATGAATCCCAGTTCCTCCTGAAGGATACGAGACAGCTCCTCGTACCAGGCTCTGGGCGCATCTGGTCTACCGTAAACTGGTTTCAAGAGCTTGATTATCTGACCAGGCTGCATCCCTTTCAACCCTTGCTTGGGCTGTCTCATGAACATGTCAGGTTTGTCCTTGAGTGGAGCGCCTTGGGGAAAAGCGCTAGAAATGTCTCCTATATACCAGTCAGGTGTCCATCCAAGACATGTCACCAAATGCAGGAAAATCATAGTTGACACACGCTCAATCGTAGGCGAGTCCACCTGAACTTGACCCGTTCGACTGTCTGGACAGAGATGTCCTTGAAGACATAACCTAGCCTTGGCTTTAACCGGGAGGGGTTCACGGTCTGGTCCAAGCAAACCCGCATTCTTGTCCCGAAAAACATATCGGCTCGGAAGGATGCGCTCGGGACGTTCTTTTTCTATCCTAGCGCTCTCCTCAGGTGACAGAATCTCACAGCTCTCATAATCCAACCAAGACTTCAGCCGCCTTGTAGAGCTCTCTCTGTTCTTCTGGGATACAATGAAAAGGAATCTCTTTCTCCATCATTCGCTTCATCTTGGTCTTACTCTCAGTCTTCTTGAATGAAACCGCATGAACAGGAGCCTCTCTATCATGTCTCTTCTGTCTGTTGACTCGGTACGGAACATCATCTAGGCACATCTCGTTACGGGTGCGACTTTGAAAAATGGTAATCAGGCCTGCCGCAGGTCCTCCAGGGATAAACTGGTGTTGATCTTCAAGGTCCGCCCATTCTACCTCCCTTTCCAAGCACGTCCACTGACCCTGATTACCGAGGCTCGGGACTTCGAAAAGCCAAAACCTTGTGCGAAATCAGAACAGGATTTCCATGTTGATCAACATGCCATCCCACTTGGGATACCATCTGAGCATGTTCTGAACTCAACCCGTCGGTGCTTAATTCCACTTCTTGCATGTGAAGATCCTCGGTCAAGTCCTGTCCAAGGGGCTGATGCTCCACATCCATCGGCTCCCCTTCAGGGTCGCTTTGACCCAAAAGATCCTCATATGTGGCTTCTGAGGGAACCTTGCGAAAGAGGGCAATAGCCTTCTGAATCTCCGGATTGCCGACATGTTTCTCATCCCCAACTGCTTCCCGAAGATGCTCTCCGGCCACAAGAAAGCAACGCCCACCGATGGCCACCCAGGCGTTCCTATCCTGAAGCCCAACCACATACCCCGGCCCACGCCAGGAGCTGTGATTGTCTCCCTTTTTACCTCTCTAGCTTCTCTCCAAAAGAAAACAAGCTGACCTATCTTGGGAATGGGGATCTTCCTAGTACGATTGTGCGCCGTCCTGAGTAGCATCTGGCGAGCCTGACTGCGAACGAACTCCATCTTTGCATGGTCACGGTACCTCATCCTACTCGCCACGTCACTGCCCGTCTCACCTACTGCAGGATGATAGCTAATCGGATTCCCATCTTGGTGGAGTTCACCAAACACTCGAGGCTCTCTTCCAAACACAAGAGCAACAGGGGCCCATCCATGTTCTCAGACCAACGAGTTCTTAGCCCAGCTCACTTCCCTGGTTAAACGTCGCATCTCGTCCCTGCCCACAGCATGAATCTGACGAACGACGTTAAATATCATATCCTTGACGATCTGATTGTGACGCTCTACCTTACCGGCTTGCCAGTGAGCTGTGCCCGCGATGGAAGTCAGACAGGACCCC